GGTTATTTACAATCATTTCAAAATGAATTTTTTTGGCTTGGAACAAAAGATTATAGTTCTTATTTGACTATATCAGATGCTTTAGATTTTCGACAAACAATTGCAAATGAAACAGATATTTTTAATTATAATCATCAATTAGCTATTCAAGCTGGAAATTTAATTGCAAATATGTGGAATAGTTCAACATTAACATCAAATGAAACATTTATAAGTACAATGAATAATATTGAATTACCTTTATACATTGATACATTAGATAAAATGAATAACTTATATCAAAAATTGATTAATCAATATAATATATTTTTACCAATGTTTCGATTTGATAATAAATTTTATTGTCGAATTAGTGCACAAATATATATGGAATTAGAGGATTATCAAACTGTTGGAAAAATTGTTTTAGATGTCATTTCAAATCAAAACTTTTTCTCAATTTTAAAACAAACAAAAGATAATCTTTGTTATGTTTAATCAATTTTTATATTCAATAAAAATATTTCTATTTTTCCATTGACGTTACCATAGATAAATTGCGTTTCTTATCTGACTAAAGTCACAGAAGAAACTACCGATCAACCATTGATAGATCGTTGAATGAAATATGTGCTATAGCAGTGATATTTACCGATAGTTACACAAGAAACTGTCAGCAGTGTGAACAAATGTGCGACTTGAGATGTTGTGTGTGTGAATGTGATTCATATCTTCACACACAGGTATCCTTAACTCATACAAATATTCAATTTTATGACGATACCAAAGTTGTTCAACATGTTCTTATCATCGCATTTGTGTACTGCCATGGTTTTTGTTGCCTTACCATTTCCAAGCATTGTAATCATTTATCAAGGTAGATTTGCTAAATTATAAAATCCTATCAATAAAACGACATCCGGTTAAAAGCCGGAATCGAATAATCCATAGCATGCTTCACTAAAAACAGGGTGTGGGTGTGGGTGTGGGGTGTTGGTATGGGTGCGAAACTGACGAAGCAAGCATACCCACACCCACTCACACTCGCACCCATACTGGCACCCACACCCACCCATTGTAGTATATATTTCGATACAGTTTAGTATTATTTATTCTGAAATTTATTTTTATGATTTATTCATGACTGAAGTTCGCTGATATCTCTTCATTTTAATTAATTTTCATTGAGAAGTTAATATATGTAGTTTTCAATAGATTTTTTTGTCATTTTTAAAAATGAACTGACAAAATTTAATTATATTATGATATTTACTGTAACCATTGAATATCCTATAGAACTAAACAAATGATAATTAACAAGATATTTTTCTATTGAAAATCTTATCTTATATTGATTTCTCTTAGATTCTTGATTCGATAGTACGATTAATATTCTATTTTCCAATGGGAGATTTTTGAGTTATGTGCATCATATCATTTTTCTGGAATATATTCTCGGATCCTAAATGAAAGCATTTTATATCTTAAGTTCGATTTGTGAAATATCGAAAATGGAAATAGAACCTGTTGCATTATGAAATACTTACTTCTAAGTTTGTCAATTTATTATGTAAATAGCAAGAGAAGAAAGAAATGAAATATCTACGTCAAAGAACGACGAATGTAGAAAACTAAAATTGTTAACCCTCATCCGGCAACCTATAAAATGCTCGAATTCTACCAATCTCTCTTGGTGGTTCCTTGAATTCGACGGTTGCATTCTTTTCATTTGAGTTTATATTATAATGTGCCAGAATGGTATTTGCTATCAATATGAACTGATTTTCTTCTATTCATCATTTGTCTGAGAGAGAAGCCTGACATATCTTCGAAGCATTTATTTTCGTCTGCAGAGCTCTACACAGGCCATGTTTTTCAGGCCTGTGCGGCCTGTCAACTTTTTCAAACGAATACGATCATGATAAAATAACTACAAACGAGTTGTGCAAATAGAGCACCAAGCCTACTTCTCAACCCGAGCCTGGCCTTCCTGTCATAGGCAACACCCGGGATTTTCAGACAAATGAAAGTCATAGGTTTAAGCAGTTATGGGCCTGTGACTTTCATGGGTCTAAAAATCCCGGGTGTTGCCTATGACAGGAAGGCCAGGCTTGGGTTGAGAAGTAGGCTTAGTGCCCTATTTGCACAACTCGTTTGTAGTATTTTATCATGATCGTATTCGCTTGAAAAAGTTGACAGGCCGCACAGGCCTGCAGAAACATGGCCTGTGCAGGGCTCTGTTCGTCTGGGGTTCGCACGGACTCCAGGTTGACGGATGAGGGTTAACGACGACATCAATATTTCAGAAACAAGAGCATACTACGAATCAATCAAAGAGATAATCAACTGTTCATCTAAGAGATGTTACCATTTCAAAAAGAAACATTAGAAACTTCGAATATGTGTTTAATCCTATAAATACAGTTGGTTCTTGTCATTGCTTGGAATTTTAAGGTTAGTTTTTAGTGTAACATGCTTGATCTGCTACTTGTTATTCATATCTTTAATCGCAAAATATTGATACTTTCAATTCTAATCCGTTATTATAGATTGATTTCAAGACGATGACCAGCAGTATTAGCAGTTCAATACGAAGTAATATCTCAAATGTAACTCATAATCAAAAAGTCAAGAATCATTCTGAACTAGTTTTATGGATTCGTACGATCAATTAAATATTCTTCAAGAAATATAGTCATTACGTTAAAATAAATATAAAAGTGGTACCAACATATTTTATTTCATATTTATTTTGGCTCTAAAAATGACGATGGAACATGGGAATATTTAAAGGAAGTATATGTCCTACACAAGTACATAGAAAGATCTGTATTGATTTCCTCTAAAGACTTTTTTCTTTACTTAAAACACACAACCTGTGATAGTATTATTTCTAATTATATTGTGCCAAGTCTGCATTGCTGACACTAATTATAAAATGAGAGAATCATCTTATTTTTATTCAAACAAGTTTCTGTTTTCAAAAAACATGATGATGATGATGATTTCGGCTTTTGTGTCAGTCATTCTGGTAGATGCGATTAAATGTTTATTATAAAGAACGTCGAAGATTCTTCATTTGACACTCGATTATCAGGATTCTATTTGGATGAAAATGATTGGAAGAAAAAAGATCATTACGAACCATGTACCAATCGTCACAATATTTCGATTAAGAATGGAGTATCATTGATTCTATTTTATCGGTATTAAAAATGGTCTGGATGTATCTATCGATACATTGCTAACTTTTTTGACTCAATAAACATCAATAATTCGTTCGATCTGATTGGAATGCATGCATTCGAAAGGAAAATATATTTCTTCCTTTACTTTATCATACTATTTCAAAAGATTCATAATTTTAAAAGAAAACAGACGGTTTAAATCAAATTGTCCAAACGATGAAGAATAATAGTTCTATGGCTAAATACAGGATATACTTTCAGTTACCATTAATAATCGATACACCTGTATGTTCACATAATTAATTATCATCTTTTTAAAAAATTCACTAGACATACAAATCACTTTTCAAAGAAATATACCGAAGATTGTGAAAGAAGTTTTCGTCCATTTGAATCAAACAATCAAACATTAAAGATTAAACGAATCTGAACAATATTTTCACCAGAGCAACTTCTTAAAACTATCTAAGACAGTATGCACAAGTCAACGCCGTATGAAAAATAATATATTTGTTGTCTAAAAGACAACAAGGAGTGTAAATATTATTTGTAGTGTTCCGAAGTCGGGTAGAAATTAAATAATCTTTTGATTGACTATGTCTATATAGTAACTAACTTTACCTAAATTAGAGTATTTCTAATGAAAATTTCAAGTAGTATGCACACTAAGCACTCTGTCTTACAAATTATTAGTTTACCATATCACTCTAAACTTTCAGACAAAGTGAATAGACTGCGAATGATCTGGAACTTCGCATCTTCTGAATAAATTTTCTTTTCTTTGAAAGATATTTTAATCAAGCCTAATGAACTATTCAATATATGGTATGTTTATGAGAAAAGAACTGGAAAATAGTATATGAAGAGGCATGCAAATAGTCTTTCCCTGATGTACTCATCCAATGTTGACGATAATTTAAAATAGTTACTCGCAAAATAAAACAAGAAATATGTACAATTGTCAATATCTCACATACATCTACACATTATTCACTATTAATGTCTTCAATTATTTCATTTGATTGTTCTTGGTGAAAACTATTATTTTGTTTGTGCATATCAACATAATCATCACAAAAGTCCTCAGGATGGTGATTAATTAAATAGATACAGATCATTAATGAAAAACAATAACGTCATCTACATCAATTCAAATTTGATTGTTTGATTAAAAACAATATCAATTCAAGATCTTGATAGAGAAAGAAATCAATGATCATGTCAATCCCCAGTAGAGCATTATTTTCATTTAGTAATTAATTTTTCATCATCTATGCTATATTCCATAGGATTGTTACAAATAGAGGTGGCACATAAGTCATCACGGTTTATTCGAGTTTCAAAGAACAGAAAAAATCTTAAATACCTGATCTTGAAATCAAGATTCTTTCTGCAATCATGATAAGAGTTTATTTTGACCGGTATTGTATCTCTTTATTCTGTATTTTCGCAAGTCAATCTGAGAATTGCTATGTCATCATCAACAGAATTGTTTCTGTACTTTTCTCTTCATCAATGAGAAATGTTCTATATGAAGAACTCCTCACTAGTATCAATGGTTGAAACACGATGATAAAGAGGAAAGCATGAAATAATAGAAAAACACAGGTCGCTGAGAAAAAAACAGAGAAGCGTAAATTCTAGCAATTTTAGCGGAGGAATCTATTTTTAAGGATTTTTACTAGAGACTTCAACTTACTTCTATGAGATAGATAATAGTCTTTACTCAAATTTCCACGATCGTTCTAAGGATATTATTTGAGTGTATCTGCGCAGCATCAAAGACTTTACACCATTTGACATGCTTAACGCGAGAATGAATTATTAACATTAAATTAATATTAAGTTCAAAGTTAGCATTTCACTTTTCATATAAAACTAAAATAAATCATTTAATTCTAATATCAAAATTAAGTTTCTTTTAAACAAAAATCCTACTGTTAAATTAACTTAATCATTTAAGCGAAGCAAGTTATCACGAAAGAAAGAATGTTTTAGACAAATAACGAGATGTTGTAATGTTTGAAGGAAGTAAATTGAAGTCAACAAAATCAAATCTGAGATTAATTTTTAAAAATTTTGAGTTTAATTTTTTCATGTAAGATGTTTTTCAGTAAAAAAAAAGTAAGTTTTCATACAAAAATAATATTTTTTGAATGTAACTCAGTCGTGAAATAATGAAACTGAAATTTTTCAAAAAACGATCTGTTTTGATTTTCTAGACTCCGATTTAGTTTTTTTTTCAGCCACTATAACATTCCTTTAATTGTCTAAAAGATCTCCTTACCTTTATGATAACTCATTTGAGTCAAATAATTCAATGAATGTAACATTTATCTTTTTGTTCAAAAAGAAACTTAATTTTAATATTAAAGTTAAATGGTTCATTTTACTTTAATATACAATATTAAGTAGAATCACTTAATTAATGTATTTAATTAAATTTCGCTAAATAAAATAGTCCATTATAGTGCTCAACTATGTTAAAATTGCACTCAAATAACCTTGAAAATGCGTAATAAGATGAAAAACAAAAAACAGAGAATGTAATGGAAAAAAGATATGTTGGATATGAATTGAATCATTATTTACACGTGAAGTATTACTAATATCGATTAATGAGATACTTTTTCTTTATTATATACAATATAATATCAAGTCAACCATAAAAAGCCCACTTTATTCGTTTTTGTGTAGGCAAAATTGCTTTCTTTATTAGTCGAACGAAAGGAATACAATAGATTCAGTTAGATAAAAACGCTTTTAACTCAGCTTCTGCTATTGCTCTTTATTACGCTTGCTTACTATCTTCCCATTATTGATGCTGAAACAGTTGGATGTTATCATTATGAATCAAAAGAACATATTGTTGCTGGTGGTGATGATAGTTATGGATGTAAACCAAATACACTTGTAACACAGAGTTTCAACATTAATAAATCTGGAAATTTAATTTTTTACTATGATTCTTATAGAAATGCCTATATGGTATGGTCTGCTCAGAGTTCGCATGGAAATGTCATATGTCCTCCTTGAACAGATTCAGATCTCATTCAAAAAGAGTGTAATTTATTTGTATGGTCAACTGGTCAATTTAGAAAATATGACTCTCTGCACGATTTGCAAATTGTATCAAAAGTTGGTTTTGTATTTAGTGAATATGGTGAAACTCCAATAGAGATCAAGGAGGTAATATTTACATGAAGAGCGGCGACTATGTGTATAAGATCAGTCCTCGTGGGGTATCAACAGTTATGGCTGTGGCACACACTGAGATATTCGATTTTTTTGTCGATTTTACTAGCGAAAATATATATATAGTGGACTAGAGCGGAGAAGCAAAGAAATTTAACGACGGGAAATATACTTCAACTGTAGTGCGCACTGGCTATATAAAGGAAGTCAAATCTTTTATCGTTGATCGTGAAGAAAATGTTTATATACTTCATTATCCGTCACAAATAATACTTTTTTCACATAATACAACTATTGGTGTTCCCGTACTGACTGTTAAACTAACTACTAGCATTCTTAATAGAGTACTACGAATACGCATGAATGAAAATGGGGATATTGATGTTTTAGCAATCTATGGAGGCAATTGTGAAAAGATAATCAAATATAGTTGTAGTAGTAAGTAGATCTATCATTTTTCTTTGAAGAGCAATGCTATAAGATGTGACAAAAAGTCGAGTTTATAAAGCCTCCTACAAAAGTCTATAATATGGTTTTTGTTTACAGGTTCTGAACTCTCACATAAAATTACAATATGATATTAAAAACATTGCTGATTTTAGACTTAATTTATGATTTTGTCGTAAGCAATTATTAGTTGAACGCTCTTATAATAACTATGGAAAAAAAGGACAATTTGTTCTAATATTCTACAGTTTTTCCTCGTTTTTTTTTAAATAACATCTCATTGGAAATCGTAGTTATATAAAGAAAAAGAAATCATGTTTAAACAGTTTATTTTTAAAAAAGTAAGATGTAGACTTTGCACGAAATAAGTCAATTTAAGGTGGAAATTGATCAATACTAATTCTAAGTTGGTTTTTGACTAACAAAATGATTAGTGCTAAGAAAAGTAAAATGAAAATCTTGTGAGAATAGAAGGTTCAAAATCCAATAAATGTGGCAAGCAAATATTACAAAAAATGAAATCAGTATGAAGCAATATGACAAAGCGATGCTAATTCTGGTGGATTTGTCCATCAAATTCTGTAAAAAGAAAACAAAAATAAACTTGACATATATATAGAATTGGCATGACAAACTAATTCATCTACGAATGAACTTCAACTCTGAAACTGACTTTTCGAGAATTGTTTCAAACTTATTGTACTTACAAAAAAAGATGCTTCAGAGAAAATCTAGGAATATTCGAAACAAAAACTTGTATTCGTCTAAGGATAATAATGAAATGACTTTTCTCGAAAGTCTATGAAAGACAATTCTAAGTTTTAATAACTTAGTTGAGATCAAAGAGATGCAGCAAAATTCACAAAGTGGTACGTGTGCCTACCTCCTTGAAAATACGTAAAAGTTCAATATCATTCAACAGATGAATTTATTTTTGATGCCAATTCTAAATATATGTCAAGTTTACTTTTGTTTTCTTTTTACAGAATTTGATGAACAAATCGACCAAAATCAGCATCGCTTTGTCATCTTGCTTCATACTGATTTCATTTTTTGTAATATTTGCTTGCCACATTTATTGGATTTTGAACCTTCTATTCTCACAACTTAGAATTAGTATTGGTTAATTTTCACCTTAAATTGACTTATTTCCTGTAAAGTCTACATCTTACTTTTTTTTAATAAAATTTTTAAACATGATTTCTTTGTCTTTATGTAACTACGATTTCCAATGAGATGTTGCTTGAAAACAAAAGCAAAGAAAAACTGTAATTCTAAGAGAATTTTCCTTTTTCCTATAGTTATTATAAGAGTACTCAACTTACAAATATTTATAGCACCATTACAAATCAAGCCTAGACTCACGCGAATTTCCTATTATCTTTGTAGTTTGACATGCATAAGGAAATATGAATTTTGAGAAACAAATATTGTAACTCATGCTTTTTTTTTAGCTTGTGATCAGTGTATCAAAAATAATCTACTCGCAACCGTGAAATATTATAAAACCTATGGTCCACGTTACATTGGTACACTCAAATTATCTCAGTTTTCACAATGGGATACTCTAATAAGCAAAGGTGAAGCAACTGATACCGATAAATCAATTATTAGTGCAATGTCACAAAATGAAGCTAATCTAGATGGCATACAAGCATACGATAGTGAAATTTTAACTGCTGGTGCAATGCAAAAGACAATAAATCCCAAGGGTCAAGGTGAATTTGCACAACAAGTTTATGAATTTAAGCAACAATATCCAGCTGCCTATAAACATTTATTTGAAGATTGTGTGTGGATCGGATCTTCACGGAAGATCATGTCTTATAAAGGAGTAACAGGTGAAGCATTAAAAAAAGCTCTGCGACAAGATTTTTCAACCCCGACAAAAAGTTTACAGAGCTCTAAAGCTCTCGGTCCATTAGTTTGTGCAAATTCAC